TCTGGACCCTTTCAATGTTGTCCACATCCCTCCTGAAGTGGGGCGCACAGAACTGGATGCAATACTCCAGCTGTGGCCTGACCAGTGCCGCATAGAGGGGGAGGATCACCTCCTTGGCCCTGCTAGAGATGCACCTGTGGATGCACGACAAGGTCCAGTTAGCCCTGCCACCTGTGACCTCACATTGTTGGCCCATGTTCATTTTGGAGTCAGTAATGACTCCAAGATCCCTTTCTGCCTCCGTGCTCTCAAGAAGGGAGGGGAGGAGTCTCTCAAGAAGAGATATGGAGTGGTACTACTGTGACACAATTTTTCCCATTATGAAGGGTGGGAGAATCAACAAGAGTGCTTCTAGAGAGAGAAGAATCAGGTAGATTAGGCTAGGATCACTGATAGAGCAAAGGTAAGAGTTCCTGGGATAAGAAGGTGGAATAGAGAGGCGGAGTGGGAATACGTTTTGAAAAGTTTTGAAAATAAAAATCAGGAAGTTTGTCTGATGCACTGAAAGGGAGGGAGCTAACAGAGAACTAGCAGAGGGAGTAAACAGCATAACAAGCCAGTGTGATGATACCTGTGGCAGTATTTTGGATGGACCTGAGATCATAAGGTTCAAGCAAATGATTCCAGAGAGGAGGAAACTGCAATATTAAAACTGCTGCATGATCCTGCAAAATGATCAGGACTTGCATAATATCTTGGGCAAGGAGAAAAGGTTGGGTCTCAGACATGCTGTGCAGGAAATTGCAAAATTTAGGGATGCCCCAGATGTCAAACAAGACAGCTGAGACAAATAAGGCCAAGGTAACAGGCATAAAACACGTGGGACAACTTGATCATGTTGTCCAGCATAACAAGCTAGAAAAGGAAAAATAAAAGTGTGAGTGTTTTATAATGTTTCCTATTGTAACTGTTAATAGTGTTGGTGGTTGACTGACAGTAAAAAGGCTTTCATACCAAATTATGAATCGCTGACTTTTATATGAAATGCTTAATATCTGCTGGCCACATAAATCAGTAGCTGGCTACTAATTAAATTGCATCAAACTAGTGGCTAGCTACATAAATTATCCAGAAAAAAGAACACAAATTACGCAGCTAAGCATACCGCCACATTTGAATATTTGCACAAACAACTCAAATCATATTTCTTTCTATATATTTTATAGCCACTATATTGCCCCTTAGATAATGATGATAAGCATAGACTAGAGAACAAAAAGCTTTGTTAACTTTCCATTTGCTTGTTTTGCATACTCGATGAAATTTTGTATATTATCATTTCTCCTCTTCAGGTATTTAGTTTTTGGTCCTGCTAAAATGCATACACTTAGCATTATGAAATGTGAGTGGTCCTATTAACTGCATAAAGACAAGTATATGCATATAGCTCTTTAAGAAACAGAGAATTAATTTATCCTGCTATGGGATGGTTGCTAGCACCTCTAAAGAGTAGCGTTTTAGGCCCCCACTAAACATGCAGGTAAAGCCATGATTGGATCTAATGAGTGATCCACACAATTGTGCCTCCTGCCCTGCTACATGTCCACAGCAGGAGGTGCGATTGTGGGATTGCACATTAAGACCAAATTGGAATTTATTGCCAGTGCAGGGGGAGCCTGATCCTATCTCTGGGCTGTCTGACGGGCAAGAAGCAAGCTTCCATGGCTGGGAATCCCCTCTGTGGAGGGTGCTCCCAGCCACGGAGGCCGTGTGCAGTCAAAGTCAACACACTCCCACAACTGATGGGGCTCCTGTTCCCAGCTGAGCCCCACGGTTAGACTTGACTGAGAGCCATGTAACTGATGGAGCTCCCAGTCCTGGCTGCACCTCCTCTGATCCTGGCTGTGTCAGTTGTGGGGCTGCTGGTACCAGTTACATGTGAGGTACAGCCAGGATTGGGAGTCCTGTCACTTGCAGGGTCTCTCAGTCCATCCTGCAGGTGACGAGTCGGACTGAGACCGCCGTGTGGATCCCTAGCCTTTATACCCTACCCCTAGCCTTGAGGATCACAGCAGCTGCAATCCCCAGGGCTCAGGTTTTTCATGCTGGACACGGTATACTCCTGCAGCTGGGAGCTCTTGTCAGTTCATGGGGCTCCCAGTCACAGGAAAGCTCAGTAGCAACCAGCTATAAAGTTAGTACATGTTTTTAAAGTTTAATTTTATAGCTGGGTGGAGCTTTTTAGTTGTAGCTACTTTGCACATGTAGTTGACCTTAAGGTAACAGTACAATTAACCAGATACTTGCGCAATACCTGTCACTTGTAGGGGGGCCTTAAAGACTCCGGCGACATACTGTCACTTGTAGACACACCCAGTGTTAACCAGTTTTGCTATAGCATAATCACATATAGCACGTATCATATAATCACAGCTGCACTGGAATTTGGGATAGTGTCTTTCTCAGTCATGAAAAGGAATCAGTGCATTAAGATTAATTATATTTTAATTCTTCTTAAAATATAACTGTACTTCCAACTGAAAGGTCTTCTGGTGATTCTTTGTCCACGTTTAAAATGCCAGCCATGGCTAACAGCTAGGGCAATGGATTTTTCTGTAACTTGCAGGATGAAATTCTAATTTTCATAATGGTGCAAATTTTCCGAATACATTTGAGTTAGCTATAGCTTTTCAGTTCTCCTCTTCACACAGCTTCTTTTATAAGCTCAGCCAACCTCTGAAATGCCTACGATAAAATAAAGATGGACAGCATTCAAATTCCAGCACTGGCGAAACAGACAATATGCTAAAACTATAGAACTACTAAAGCTGTTTTAATAGGTGAACAGTATAAAAACAGAAAATACTAAGCAGGAATGTGTTTGAAGGTGTGTGCCTCTCTAGAGCCTACATACCTGAGACTCAGGGCTCCAGGAACACACTACTGTATATTCAGGATTTACAGCAGGGAATTGAACCCTGTACCTACATCTACTCTTTTCTAGACCCTGATTCTGTAGCCTATGGGTTACAGCACTAAACTATAAGGTGACAGAATCAGGCACTGGCTCTTCCTCCTAGGACTGTTTTATACTCCAAAGATTCTAATGAAAAACACATTCATAATCCTGGAAAGCAGGGACTCCCCCACTGAAAGCCCTCACATTAGACCACAGGGTCAGACTCCTTCTTGCTTATCATCCTTCTCTGGAAGATTAGTTCTTGAATCATCAAGTACGGAGTATGTGCATGAACTGGAGGAAAGATCTACATCTGACTGATCAAGGGAACAGAATGTGAAAAGAGTAGCATGTTTAATACCAGTCACATTGAGCTTCTTTAATGTACAAAGAAAACTGAGTAAAAGGAGTTAGATCTGAAAAAGGCAGATCCTGAAAGATAATAACTGGCATTCTTATATTAAAGCAACTAGCAAAACTTGATCTGACTTAAACCAGATCAGGCCTCCTGGGAGTAAAGTCTGATAAACAGAAGTAATAAAATCCAGGCAGGTGAATTTGAGACACAATGGGCACATCTACATGATATGCTTTACTGTGCAATAGAGCAAATTACAGTGTAGTAAGCATCAGGACCTACATGTGCAGACCCTTACTGTGCAGTAATCTGCTTTATTTGGCAGTTAATATGCTACCTGCAAATGTAAGTAGCAAATTAACTGCCAAGCCACAGTAAGGCATGTGTAGACAGATGACTGGGAGCAAGTTTGATCCCAGGCAGCAGATTGCTCCCTGCCTGCAGGAGCTGCTTGCTGTCAGAGTGGGCTCTACCACTGGAACTTGGGCAGGGACAACATCCCCCTGCCCTAGAAACAAGGAGCTCCCAGCATGTGGAGCAGGGACAGGGAGATTTTTCCCTGCACCAGGAGAGTTCCCTACCAGCCTGGAGCTGGCTGGGACCTGCCCCAGACCAGGAGAGTTCCTGGCCAGCCCCACACTGCATGGCATGGGGAAATCTGCACATGCAGCCTGGAGTTGGCTGGGGACTGTCCTGTTTTGGGCAGCTGTTTCTCAGTCCCGTGCCCTGATCGAGCAATCAAGGCATGGGGCTTAGAAAAAGCTACAGGGGTGGGGCAGGTCCCAGCCCCAATCCATGGGTGGGGCAACTAGCAGCAAGCCCCTGGCTTGGCAGGGAATCCCCACCCAGCTAGGGGTTCAACTGCTAGCTTCCCCACCAGCAGATCAGTGCTGGAACCTGCCTCTCCCTTGCAGCTCTTTCCAAGCCCCCTGCCCCTGATCAGGGAGCTGGGGCCAGGAGCTCCCTGCTGCTGGAGCAGGGGAACATTGTCCCTACATGGGCTTTGCCACTGGAGCCAGCCCTGGCAGCAGGCAGCTCCCTGGGGCAGGGAGCAATCTCCCACCCCCTGCCAGGAGACTGCCATCTCCTGGCCACATGCTCCCTGCCAGTCCCTAGGCTAGCACCTAGGGGGAGCCTAGAGCTCCACCAGGCTGGTGCACGACAGAGGGGGCAAAAGCAGACTGCTGCCAGGAGCAGCAAATCTGTTCCCAAATCCGTGCACATGTAGACACCTGCCCAGGGTGGGTTTACTCCAGAATAAATTACTTTAGAGTAAACCCATTCAGCAACATTTGCATATGTTAATGTGACCACTAAAGATTCAGTGCCTTATGATTCAACTAAATAAGAACATCTTGCAAAAGAAACAGCTGATATGATTTTAGGAATATTTCTCAAGACTCTGATATTGATAAACCAAGCAAACAATAAAGAAGCTTGATGGGAAAACATGGCGACAACTATACAAGTAAAGTGAGCGAGCAAAACAGCAACTATTATGTCAGGTCATTTTATTCTTCGGTATACACAGCAAATCAAAACGCACTCACCTGATCCATCTGAGCTGGAGAAGACAGAGAGAAGGAAGCTCTAACATGAGAACTAGGATGTGAACTATCAATGTTAAATGCTCCCCCAGGAACCAGTAATACCTACAAATAATTGATATGTCACTGGGTTACTGCATGTTCTTAGATTTAAATCATTAGAAAAATGTTAAAATGCATATTTGTTGAGAGTCCAGGATAGGCCAATGTTAAAAAACAAACTCACAATGAGTCTTAACTCATTCCCTTCTTTCAAAATGGGATGGCAGAATATAAAAACTTGGCATAAGACATAGTACTTAGCTGCTTTTAAAACTTATAGGCAGGTTCTTTTGTATCATCCCAGTGTTTAGGTAAGTATCAGAGTTTTTTAATATTTTATGCTGGCTCATATTTGTTGAAATGAAACCATACTTGAAAGTTAAGGATAGTTTGGTGAGGTCTGCATCTGTGTCTGGGATACATGTAAGCAAATGAATGGGGCAACTCAGCTATGGTTTTCTTTATAATTAGATTGACCTTTCCTGTCCATGTCCTGTTTTAAAGCTGTAAGTGTAGGAATATCATTTAGAGAAGTATCTTGCCCTTTTAGAAAGTAAGTGAATAATTTTGTCTTGTTGAGGAGGTTTGATACTAGGAGTGATGTTTGTTCAGTG